ATTGATAGTTGCTGCCGGGAAATGTCACCACCCAGAGTGGGTCATTTCTCTGTACTGTATGCAATAATTAACACTGTCTGTGTAGCAACAAACTCCTACCAACATTATATGACATGCTTGGAGAGGAAGCTTGAAAAGATGTACGGACCAGGGGCGGACTGACAACTTATGGGGCCCCCCGGGCAATAGGGGATCATGTGGCCCCTGTGTAATTGCCCAGACTCAAACTACACCCAAAAAAGCCTATGAAAGGTACCAGGGGCATCTCATGGGGCCCCCTACTGACCCTGGGCCCTCGGGCAGTGCCCGAGTACCCGAATGGTCAGTCCGCCCCTGGTACGGACTATTGTACAAAAGCTTCTCTTTGCACCAAAGGCAAAGAAAACGCTTCACAAAAATGTTTTCAGCTTTTGATGTTTACTAGAAGAACTTACCCTGCAATTAATAGGAAATAGAAGAGATACTCATGTCTAGTGTTGGGTTCAAACATTGGAATTTCGTGTGTTCGCCAAACACATGAATGGTAAGGGTGTTTGGGGGCTGTCCACTCGCCAAGCGCCCCACAGTGCACTGCACACTCACAGCGCATTTTTGAGAGCCATGATTGACAAAAGCAATGCACCCGACCACAGGTCAGTTGCAATGCTTTGGCCAATCGCAGCACAATGCACACAGCATAAAGCACTGATTGGCTTTCTGAATTTATTTATTTTCCAGCAGCAGCAAAATGGAAAATTTCCTATCAAATATTTATCGTAATTTTCCTTTCCTGATGTGCCCCATGGCAGCATATGTATGGTTTAGCCCTGCCCTCTACTATAGGACCCCACTCCCATTAATCTTCACTTCTCGCTAGAGGCCATGTTCCATAACTAGCCTACTCATGGCATTGGGAGGGTACTCCTGCTGCCATGGAGTCCATCAGGAAAGGAAAATTATGGTAGGTATTTGATAGGAATTTTTTCATTTTCCTGACAGACTCCATGGCAGCATACATATGGGAAATAACTAGCCATACACACAGGTGGGCAGTTACTCAAACAAAAGCTTTAATTTGCCCCATCAACTGACAGGACTTTCAAACCAAAATTAATAGAGGATAAGGAAGCAGGCTCTACACAGTAATGAGCCATAAAAGTGTTGATTGAGGACCATGAGGCCGCTCTGCAGATCATCTCAGGGGTGACATATCGGGAAGCCGCCCAGGAAGTAGCCACACTTCTGGTTGAGTGTGCGGTCACTGCCTCTGGAGGCACCAAGCCCTTAGCTCTGTAAGCCATTGACCTGGAAGAAGCCCGGTCTCCTTTACTCTTCCCATGGAAAAGGACAGATAGACGGTCTGAACTACAGAAGGATGCTGTGACCTGCAAGTACAGCTTTAAGGTCTCACCTATATCCAGGGGGTGAATATCATTGTCCCCAGAGGCTCTAAACATTGGTAGGACAATCAATTTTTCATTGGTACCATACCCTGGAGATCCTCCATATTATACATCTGTCAGTCAGCGACAGGTGTTGGCATTGTAAAAACTGACTTAAGTTCCCTACAATACATTTATTGCCATTGTACAAACATTAAACCTTTCTAGGAATCTGTACTTTCCTTGGTCCTTGTATCTTTGATACGTGGATCCCCTTCAATCCTACCTCTGGACCTACCACCAATCTTTCTAAACACGTAAAAAACTATTATTTTCATACACTTACTACAGCTAGATGTCTGCACCTTAGAGAAAAAAAAAAAAAACAGAACCACCTACTCCCATAGAAATGCATGATAGAATAAGGGAATCTCTTTATATTATTCTTTTTACAGATTTACTGTGTTCACTATGATAATAATCTCTCCCTCCCTGTCTCTCCCCCCCCCCCCCCCCCCACCTACTTTTATGTTACTTACTCTACACACCTGGAGACACCTGCACTGTATACACTATGTTTTACATTACATAGTACTGACCAAAGTGTTCATTACTTCAACAGTTGTTGATTTAACAAGGTTCTCCTTATCGTAGGCGTGCCAGATGCACCAAGATGGAGCAGTGCCCCTTCACCCAGTCCCTTCTCTTGCTCTTTTTTCTTCTGCATCGTTTTTATTCTCTCTTTATAATACTCTAATAATCTTTTTACAGCTTTACTATGCTCTCTGCCTCTATACATATCCTTGGACTTGGGTCGTTGAACATATCATTAAGTCATACAGTATAACTCAAATATGGAAGTACATATGCTTTATATGTTCCTAAAGCCACAGTGAGCTACCCTGAAATTCTGACTGACCACATGATTTATTGTATATGCCGAAACTTTCATTGTGACAGTTTTTTTTTTTATTAGCGTAATTTACGCATCTTTCTATGTCTTTGAGCAAACTGTTGTCCTTTCTCTTGGGGTACTTATTCTGTATACCATTATATTCTGTAATATTTGTTGTACACTGTAAGAGATCCTTTATTCTCTGGTGATTTGCTTCTGTCCATTAAAGTCCATAGATAGGCGTAATGTCAGTGTAGAAGGCTTCTCTGCCAGTAAATGAACAGTTGTGAAACCACGGATATGGGACATTTATGCATTTGAGTCTGGTTATGTCATGCAACACGAGCACGCAGCCTAAATTCACACTTAACGATTTTGAATTGCTGGCCGAATGGCCACAATTCTGGCCGCGATTCCAAATCACACTGCAATCGTGGCAAAATGCAACATGTGTGTTTAGATGCCATTCATTTTTAATGGCACCTCAAACATGGTTGCGTTTTGCTGTGAACGTTGTTTGCATATCCACATCGCATGAAGCTTGTTGCCCAAAAAGGAGCAAGAGCTAGCAGCAATGGATTTTTAGCTAGTGTTAGGTGTTTCTCTTGTTTATTAAGTACTTGGACTCATCTCCTAGCTACATATCTACGTGTCTGTGTGAGTTTGTGAGAGTTGGTATTTTAATCCCCTTTCAGACTAGTTTAATACATTTATTACACTGTCTGAAGTTGTTTTTTCATCTATATGTTCATACTTGCTGCTGTACAGTTGAGTGATGTTATAAAAGGCAGTTCCGGAGCCAGTTAATTCAAGTTATGCCGAGCTCAGCTGAACTTCAATAAGTACAGTGTTGTAAAGAATTCTAACAGTAGTCATTTGCATTATATGTCAATAGATCAACTGAATTTGTCTAAATCACTAATACTTGGGCACAGCTGAACAAAAAGGTAAAATAAAAAAAAGGGGAGGATAAAAGGAAACTAAAGGGGAAGAAAAGTAAAAGAAAAGAGAAAAATAAAATAAAAGGTGTCTCGCTTTTACTAAGTTAAGCATGAGATATAAAAGCTGTTTCAAAATTAGTCATTTAAGGCTTGGTAATAAATTACATTCAGGGGTTCCACACCCCTTCAAAGTGGTGTTGTTTAACCTTAACCACTTCAGCTCAGAAAGGCTTTACCCCCTCCATGACGAGAGCATTTTTTGCTTTTCAGCACTGCGCTACTTTAACTGGCAATTGAGCAGTTATGCAACACTACGCAAATTAAATTTTTATTATTTTTTTCACACAAATAGAGCTTATTTTTGGTGGCATTTGATCATCGCTGGGTTTTTCATTTTTAATATATAAACGAAAAAAGACCAAAAATATTGGGAAAAAAAACTATATTTTCTGCTGTTATAAAACATATCCAAAAAAAAAAAAAATCAAATTTCTTCATAAATTTAGGCCAAAATGTATTCTCCGTGTCTTTGATAAAAAAAAACATAATATCAATAAGTATACATTATTTGGTTTGTGTGAAAGGTATAGTGTCTACAAACTATGGGATATGTACTGGAATTTACACAGCTATGACACCTTACTGGTAATGGCGGTGATCAGCAACTTACAGTGGGACTGCGATAGTGTGGCGCACTAGCTGATACTAGCTGGCAGGACACTAACTGACACTGACATCAATTGTGACACTGATACAGTGATCAGTGCTAATATTGTAAACTGTCACTGTACTAATGACACTGGCTGTGAAGAGGTTAACATCTTGGGACAACCAAGGGGTTAATTGTGTGCCTAACAATGAGTAATGTGTGTAATATGTTCTGATTTTACTTAACTGAATGGATGTTTATTCTCCCTGCTTTGCAAGGAGAATAAACAGACAGATTGCTGTTCCCTGTACACAGTTCTGTGTTTTGCAAACACAAAACTCTGTGTTTGATGGCACACAGCCAATCAGCTGACTGTAGCCAACATCATTGGTTGAAATAAGCTGCCAAATTCATGCTTGTGTCCAATCACAGCACGGATCAGAATGGGGCATGCATGCTTCCAACCCCCCACTGCAGACCCAGTAGCCTGTGACATATATAAATGTAAATGTACAGCAGTGGAGCAGTAAGTGGTTAAGGATGCTAGTAAGTTTTGGCTTTTTGATTGTAAAGCCAGGCAGTTAACTTGTTATGGGCATTATTACATATTGTTTATATACCTTAAATTATCACTTTTCTTATTTTCTAATAGGTGTTCCTGTTCTATTTCTGGTTGTAAGGGGAAAATGCTCTCTCTCAGTAAATTTTCCATGTTTTGACTGTAAAAAATATCTTGGGGGATGGCAATCTTGCCCCCACAGAAGGTGCTGTTGCCCCAGTAACATCCTTCATAATGGTATCAAGAGTAGATTTGAAGAGATGTTAGTACCTATGAGATGTAAAGTAATACTGATCAGACACTTCTTGAACACAGACTCTGCAGTCCGGCACTTAAACCATAGTATCCTATGCATGTGTACTAACAGGAGATCACATGAAAGAGATAATCTGAAAAACCTTCAGTGGACTGTCACAACTCAAGTTTAAAGTGTTACTAGCCCCTGCATTCACTATATCTGGTCTCCCACAGTACACAGAACATGGAAATGCAATTATTTTAGTAAATATAAACTGCTAAATACCTTTTCTCATCAACAGTTATAGCAGTTTTGTGACTTTTATCAGTGTTCAGCAGAGCACTGGTTAAAGCTTATAGAAGTTTTCTCTAGGAGGATGCAGAACCCCTGATCTCTGTCTGACAGTGTTGATTGGCCCTATGCTAATCACATGCACACTCCCAAAAAAAAAAAATGTCTCTAGCAATACACACCAAATTGAACATGTGCCGTGTCTCCACATGATTTGTCTTATCATGAGATAAGAAGGGAGCACTGGAAGAAGGGGAGGATCAGAGAAGTCAGGATCAAACCACCTTTTTACACAATGCAGAGGATTAACCCCTTTAGGTTCCACAGTGAGTATAACAAGCATGCTTTACTGCATATACAGACTGATTTTACTGTTTGGGTTTAGTAACACTTTAAATCTTTAAAGAGCAGGTCAAGAGCAGGGCCTTCTGGTGAGAACAAAGTTCTAGAGAGGGCTTCCAATCAATTATTAATTGGTTCCTTAATAACAGGTACATCCTCCATCATTATGGTAGTCACTGTTAAGGCAGGGCACTGCTAGATTCACAGTGCAGACAGACCTCTTTGGTACAAAATCCCCACCAAACAGGAACAAGGCTAATAAGCGTTTGGGGAGTAGCCAACTTGTCAGGTTATTTCCACTTTCCATAAAGAAAGAACTGCGTAAAGAAAGAGTTGTAACAACAGGTGTAGTAGAAAAGTATTTAGCTGCTCTAAAAGACCCAACACAATTAGTATTTACAAGCTGCAAATGCACACACAAAAAATAATCTAGCAATTTGTAAATTCAATATACTGAAGACGAGTGCTGCATCAAGAGAGGTCTTCAGTAAATATACAGTAGGAGAAATAACAAATTAATACCAAATTGCACTGTATATGTTGGGCGGCACTGATCATCAATGCCCTGATTATCCATGCAGATCTCCCCTGTCACATTTGCCGGTTATTGGGTAGCACTTTCCTCACGCTGTGACAGCATGAGGAAAGTGCAGCCAATAACCGGAAACTGTATTTACCCGGTGATCTGCTGTGTCATTGACTGTTGGCACTGCTGGGTAGCACTGCTGGACAAAGGTGGGTGGCACTGCTGGGCACAGGTGGGTGGCACTGCTTGGCACTGATCATCAGTGCCCTGATGATCAATGCCGATCTGTTCTCTGACAATTGCCAGTTATCGGCAGTACTTTCCTCACGCTGTGACCTGTGTGAGGAAAGTGCAGCCGATAACCAGCAACTGTATTTACCCAGTGATCTGCTGTGTCATTGGACACAGCTGATCATGTGGTAAAAGGTCGCTGTGATTGGCCTTTTACCACAACACATGATCAGCTGTGTCCATAGAACACAACGATCACCAACAGCGCTTGGGATGCACAGGGGGGCGCGTTCTGGGAGGACGTCCATGGAAACCTCCCATAACTTGACAACCGCGCTGTAAAATTCCCTAAACCAATTCACCTCAGAAACAGAGGTAATAGCTTTTAAAAATAAAAAAGCGTTGAGAGGGGGCGTGACCAGACGGCAATGTGAGCAAGCGTGATTAGCTTTACCTGCTGCTCCTCCATCCTGAGCGGGCTTTGGTGTGCTGTTGGGGTTGGGGCCGAGGAGCCCCCAAAGGTCCGGGTGGAGTGGAGCGAGAACTGGGCCCGGTGGGAGACAAGGCAGCCATTACTCTAGAGCAGCATGGTGGGGCGGAGAGGCAAGCATTTGGACTGAGGTGGCTTGGGCAGAGGGTAGAGGCTGCTGGCTCTCTCAGCTCATCTCGGCACAGTTTGGCTGGTCCCGGCTTGACTCAGCTGTACTCGGCAACATCGCTTGCTTTTATGGCCCCCTGGTCTCCTGGCTAAGCTGTAAGTGACGGGAGCTGGAGGAAGACAGAGACAAGTGCTAGCTGAAGTCTTTCTGAAAGCCACAAAAGAAGTGGCTTAATAATAGAAGCCATTTGGATGAAGTTGGGAAAGCCAATGCTGTAAAACAATATAACCAGAAAGAAAGAGGAAATACCAGTGCCGCAGACAGGTGCTAGCTACCACGCGCAGCATACAGCGAAGGATTGGAGTAAAGAGGCGGCAACAAAGCTGTAGCGTTTTGCCCATAATCCCTCTCAAGGCGTGGAAAGTTGCAAAGACAATCAAAATTATCCACATCACCATCTGTATCTTCTAAAGGCCAGCATAGTGGATCTCCTAAGATGGCTTTAACTCCATGTACCCCGGTTGCAGTGAGAACACTTAATATTTCTTATACTTTGGATGTCGTGTTAGCAGATGAGCCCTGTCTGAGAGAGGTACTGAGTGCAGTTACTGGTTGCAAAGTTTCTTTTACTAAATTGACTGAGCAATTAAAAACCATTAAGAAAAGGGATTCATAAAAAAAATGGGATTCTTACATCATGATTTGCAAATGAAAGATTGCACTACAGTTCTGGAAGGCACAGCTAGTGAAGTGGAGGATACCATGATTCCTATGAAACAAGAGATTGAGATTTTAAAGGGAAAAGTGGATATGCAAAATCAATAAAAAATTAACTTCGAAAATCGATTACGGAGAAATAATGTATGCAATATAGGCCCCCCCCGGGAATGCAGTTAAGGAAACAACATGAGGGACGTTTTGGAAAAATAGCTCCAAGAGGTCTTTGGAAAAGAAGCATTCTCTCCTTTATTCGCTAAAAGAGCAGGCCCATAGAATACCCTTGAAATCTCCACCACCAGGGTGCTTATCTAGACTAGTTCTCATGAAGCTATTGCATTTTAAGGACACAGAAATTATCCTGCCAAAGGCCAGAAAAATTAAACATTTTATATAATGGTACTAAAATTTCATTTTTCGGCAGACTTACAGAAAAAGAGAGTAAAGTTTGTGGACATTAAGCAGCATCTGTACCAGCTAGATGTTTCATATGCAATGCTCTATCCAGCACGACTGCGGGTTATGGCTAATATAGCAATACTCTTTTTTGATACACCTGCCGCAGCCTGGTTGGAAAGAAATCAACGGTCCTTGCATTCTCAATAGTAGTTATGATGACTGGGTAATGCTTATTTTAGCACAGCTTAGATATGCTTGTTTATTTTTTGACTTTTTTTTAGCAGCTATAGGTTAAAGAAGTGTAATTGTTGGGTTAGTCACAGGTGTTTTTGGACTGACACATTACTAGACATATGACATTTTTTTCTCTTTACACAAAAACAGATATTGATATCACTTCCAATGCCCAGGGGGTTGGGTGGGCTTTTTGGGGGGATGGATTTTTTTTTTTTGTGGTAGTGTTGGGTTAAGGATAGATATATTATTCTTAAATGGGAAAGAGTTAAAAATGATGACACAGCAAAGTGGTATGAATAAAGAATGAAAAAACAAGTTTTGGGCCACAAGATTGAGGAGGAAAGGAGTTAAACTTGTATAACTTTCATATCACAAAGGGGGTTGTAAGTGTGAATGTATTTTGTTTTTTTTTTTTGGGGGGGGGGGGGGGGGGTTTGGAAAGATTCAGATTATAACCGTTTGCTTTTGGAATGGGAAAGGGCTGGGAAATCCGGTAAAGAGAAAAGCTATATTTACGACAGGCTCTACTCTTAAGGCTACTGTTCTCTGTGTGCAGGAAACAAATCTTATTACAGAAACAGTGTTACGATTAAAAGATAAGGGGTTTCCATGTCAGTGTCACTTCCTATTCACGAGGTGTGAGTATTTAATACACAGGTAAATATCTCTTTCCTGCAGACAGATAAGGATTAGTAGTAGAGGCAGTATATATATATATGTACTGTTCATTAGCAGGGATAGCATATATACTGGCAAATGTATATGTCCCTCCCCATTTTAAGATGGAAGTAATAAGGTTTTTGTTGAAATTTATAGCTGATAATCCAAGGGTACCAGTTTTGGTGGTGGGAGTCTTCAACATGGTGATGGACACTCAGATGGATAAGCATTCCCCTGGAAGAAGGGTAGGGCAAGGGCAGTGTACTCCTCTGTGTTGGTACTGTGAGGCAGGATTGAGAGAAATCTGGAGGGTACGTCATCCAGATCAGTTCCTTTCATGCTACTCTAGTACATACAAAAGCATTGGTACGCCTTCCTTTACACGCACCATGAACTTTAATGGCATTCCAGTCCAGTTTGTAGAGTTCAATATTGAGTTGGCCCGCCCTTTGCAGCTATAATAGCTTCAACTCTTCTAGGAAGGCTGTCCACAAGGTTTAGGAGTGTATCTATGGGAATGTTTGACTATTCTTCCAGAAGGGCATTTGTGTGGTCAGGCACGGATGTCAGATGAGAAGGCCTGGCTTGCAGTCTCCACTCTAATTCATCCCAAAGGTATCCTATCAGGTTGAGATCAGGACAGTCAAGATCCTCCACCCCAAACTCACTCATCCATGTCTGTATGGACCTTGCTTTATGCACTGCTGCGCAATTATGTTGGAACAGGAAGGTGCCATCCCCAAAACTGTTCCCACAAAGTAGGGAGCATGAAATTGTCCAAAATGTCTTGGTATGCTGACTCCTTAAAGAGTTCCCTTCACTGACATAAGGGGCCAAGCCCAACTCCTGAAAAACAACCCCACACCATAATCCCCCCTCCAGATTTACACAGTGCAGTCAGGCAAGTACTGTTCTCCTGGCAACTACCAAACCCAGACACGTCTATCGGATTGCCAGACAGAAAAGCATAATTCGTCACTCCAGAAAACATGTCTCCACTGCTCTAGAGACCAGTGGCGGTGTGCTTTACACCACTGCATCCAACACTTTGCATTGCACTTGGTGATGTAAGGCTTTGATGCAGCTGCTCAGCCATGGAAACCCATTCCATAAAGCTCTCTACACACTTTTGTGCTAATCTGAAGACCACATGAAGTTTGGAGGTCTTTAGCTATTGACTCTGCAGACAGTTGGCGACTTCTGCGCACTGTGCGCTTCAGCATGTGCTGACCCCACTGTCATTTTTCATAGCCGAGTTGCTGTTGTTCCCAGTTGCTTCCACTTTGTTATAAAGTGTAATATTTGTAATATTTAGTAGCAAAGAAATTTCACGGATGGACTTATCTACCAAATGTTTGTAGAAGCAGTCTGCATGCATATAACAAGCATGCTTTACTGCATATACAAACTGATTTTACTGTTGTGGGTTTAGTAATACTTTAATATCTTTGTCCCCGTGACAGAAACTGATGCGTTTATATAATTTATAGGGCATATTATACACCTCAAACCGCATTAATTTGGGAGACATCTAAATGCATCATGTCCCAGATATGAGGATGTATCTGGAAGTCTCATCCATATGCTCCAGGGATGCCCTAATCTACATTGGTATTGGGGGAGGTGACAGAAACAATAAGTATGGAGTTTGGGGTTTTCCTCTTACTGGATCCTAAACTATGT